TTTCATTTTTTCTGACCAAAAAGTGTCGCACCAAATACCAATCAAAACCAGAAGAATCTGGTGTGTTTTAAAATCGAAGAAAAAATCCATTCATTTTTCATTGAGCTACATTTCCGTCTAGACTAAATTATTGTCATGTAAATAGTAAGGCGACAGTAGCTACAAACGTCGGTTGAAAAATTGCTTCGAAAACTTTCCACGAAAGGATATACTACATATTGTTATTTTTTATTTATGATCGCTTTATAACAGCTCAGGTGATCAGCATCCTCATTATTACATCAGTTCATTACCAACAATTTCATCGTTACAAACTAATATATTATTACATCATATACATTACATCATTTTATCAGAAAAATTATATCGTTGCAATATTACATTAGTCAACTTGGTGATTTCTTGTAATTTCAATTCTTTTTTTCAACCTTCTTCTGACTTGAACAGTGTGTTATTTTCAATAATTTCATTACATTATAGAGTCCTTGGTATTAGAGGGTAATTTGAGGAGTATATACTGTAGAGTCACATTTAGGACAGGGTTCAGGGTTTGATTTTTTCAACAGGTGACATTAGTTCAGGTAAAAGTGACAAATCGGTAATCTTGTAATGACGACTTCTTCTCTTCTTTTGAAGTTTTCTTTCGGTAGAACTGGTTCCAGAATAGTTTCTTACTTGGTGTATGTTTTGATGACTGCATCTTCCATTGTGAGTTCTAATACTTTAAGCAAGATTCTTTGATATTTTTCATATGTGTTTTTAGGAGCCATTAATTTGCGATTCAACATTTGGTAATGGTGTTGCCATTTTAGCACCAGTGTGTGCTTTCTGATTTCGAATAATATTCTTATGAGAAGAAATTCAAACTAGTGTGTTATTTTCGTTGATTCCTTTTGTGTTTGGGGTAAATATCAGTTTTTGGATAGTTCGGCATATTGTATTGTTGATGTATCGGTTTTCAATTTCTTTAAGGGTTGACACTGAATAAAAAAGATGACAATAGGCAAGTGTTTGCAGATTTGACACTGATTTTAATAGCTTTAAGCACTGTCCATACTTCACATGTGAAAATGAAAAAGTGGTCGGGGAGGCGATAAGGATTGACTTTATTATCATTCTGCAGCCAATTTTTCCTTGTTGTTTGTTTCCGTCAGTGTAATCACATTGTTCTTATTTTGTGCGCAAACTTATAATATGAATGATGATAATAATAATAATAATAATAATAATAATAATAATAATAATAATAATAATAATATCGTAATCCGTTATTGTTCCACTTAGTTTGTGTTTTACCTACGAGAATGTTAATATTATACAACACAATATATAAAACGATTGTTAAAGGGATTTTTTTCTAAAATGATAAATTTTGTTAATAATTGGTAATTGTTATAAATAACAGTATTTTTATGAAATAGCTTCTGATGGATGAGCCATTAATATCACATTTAGTAGGCGGAATTCAAGAACAGGCACTGGATTCTTCACGTTGTCTTTTTTTGGCGCTAACATTCAATATAAGACATTTTCAACTTTCTATTATATTTTTTAAGGTTAAGTTCTTCTAAGTACCCCAACAATGGGTGCTCATAAAAGTGCAGAATATAGAAATCTACGAAACATTAAATAGACTATTTGATATCCGGTGCAATTTAATCGCTTGGGTCTAAGCATTTGAGTTCGTTTTTAAACATTTAGCAGTATTAAAATATTTACACACCCACATTTCCAGGCGTTTTATGATGTAACACAGTTCTTATCCCGGCCGATCGAAGTTGGGCCCCGGTATGAAGCTGTTTACATTTTTAACACAAAGATTTATAATGGGCGTTTCCATATGTTTCCATATGGATACCCACTAGTGACATGTAAACCATTTGGATAGAGAAGTGTGGGACGATCGAGAAGAGAAGATGGGATCGGAATAGTACACAATACTTATACTAGGAAGACATAAATGAAGGAGAAGAAGTAGTGGGGGAAAATTCATAATATGATTAACACGAAAGTGATGAGAAAGAAAGAGACGGAGAAGAAGAAAAATAGGTAGAAAAAGAAAGAAAAAGGAAGGAGATGAAGAAGAAGTAGAAGAAGATGAGGAGGAGGAGTAGGAAGGAAATAATAAACATAAAGATGAAGAAGAAGAAGAAGAAGAACAAGAAGAAGAAGAAGAAGAAGAAGAAGAAGAAAAGAGAAAGAAGAAAATGGAGGTAATGAAGAATATGATAAATATAAAGAAAAAGAGCAGAATCACGATACCTGTATAGCACGGAAGCTCGAGAATGTCTATCCCAGAGCTGGCGAGCAACAGCGAAAGCGGTCCTCGCGTGCGACTTAAGAGAGGTGTCACGTGCGATTACCGTCCTCACCCGCACGCGTGCGACGGCGGCGGGGCGGGGCGGGGCGG